CATCTCCCTTATTTATTAAGGGTGTCATAGTGATATCACCATCCACTTGTAAAGCAGAAGGCACAAATCCATGGCTGAAGAAGCATCAGTATTTACTGAATCATAAATGTGTATTTAAAGAATGTGCCTGCAGACAATGACTGCAGCTACACAATGCACGTTTACAAATCACTTTTACAAAGTGTAGCCTTTTCACTTAGATCAATTGAGTATTTTCCTAAGTTAATTTTGCTTGTCAGTTTCAGATTTCTTGTGCACATTTGAAAAGTAAAGTATTGGGAAACTGAAAAGTAGAACAATTGGGAACTTTGAAAACAGTTAAATAATTCCCATTTTACTTACCACTTGATATTTCAGATAGAAAATCAGTTTAGTTATTTTCTGCCACTAGATTGCTCTTTAAAGTCCAATTTATGGAGTCCAAGGAAAGACGTGGAAGTTCATCCTGTCCAAAGTGAAACACTTAAGCTTTTTTTGAATGTTACTATAAATTCAATTAAAATGCTTAACAATAAGGATAAACTTATTTGCTTTTCATTGATAATATAAAAGTATATTTTGGTGAAGCACAGTCACATTGTCAAACCAATGTTCTTACTGAATGAAAACAGCCTATGGAGCCAAGTTGTACTTAGAACTGGCTGGGTGCACACATAAGCCATAACTTTGTACAAACAAGCCACAATATTTTACCAATTAAAAAAAAAGAAGCTATAGTTGTCAAATTTTATGGACATACACAAACACGCACGGCAACTAAACTACCAAATTTTTGTGACAAGGTTAATGTTGAAATTTTTAAAAACCCAAAACATTGGCATAGAAATATGAGCCTCATCTTCTTGCTGCTCATAATCAATCAGATTTAAAATATTTTAAAATCTTTGCATTTTAATTTGCACTTCAAACTAAGTGCCCTACAATGTATTGAACTTTTATTTACTTAGAAATGAGAGCTCTAAATTTGACTTATTTTTAATTTAAAAATCAGTTGGAAATCTTTAAAGTACGCAATAAATGGAAAATTCCCAAAGTGCGGCTTCTGAAACTTTTGGAGAATTGCCATGAATAAAATCAAGCTTGCAAACGAGACGACACTGAAATACAGTCTTATTAAAGCAAAGATGGAACTAGACAAATAAAATAATGATCAAACAGTATATAAGACTTGATTTGGAAAGCTGGTAATTGGGTTTGGAATATCTAAACATGTAGGAAGAATCATTTGAATGGGCTTCATTTTTTTTATATAAATAAATTGATATTCTGTGCCAGAATGAAGTAAAAGTAAAAAAAATGAGTTTTCACTATTTACATTTGATGAAACATTAAAAATAATAAATACAGGCAATCTTTATGGTAAATTTTGTCTTTAAAAATATTTGTCAAAAAAGTAACTCTCAATGGAAGCTAAAAGATAGTACCTGAAATATTTAGGCTGAAATATTTGTTTTTTTCAATATAAAAAACATTTTTGAGAATATACTTCATCTACCATAAATTTCCCTGATCTTACCAGATACTTCAGCATCTATAAGTTATTTTCTCAATTAAAAAAATTTTAGTACAAGTCAGGGTCAATTGAATAGTTCAAGGATTTTGAATTTATTAGCCATAAATTACAGTGTGAAGATCTCAGAAATTTTATGAAAAAAAATATCCACACAAAAGTAGAAATATACCGAAAAAAAATCTTCAGAAAAATACTAGTGACACAATTTTGGAGTTAAAAATGGCTCAGAATGAATAGGAGGAGCACAGAGGATTTTTAGGGCAGGGAAAATACTCTGCGTGATACGATGATGGTGGATACATGTCATTAGACGTCCGCCCAAACTCACAGAGTGCACAGCACCAAGAATGAAGCCTCACGTAAACTGCAGACTCTGAGTGGTGATGCTGCGTCAATGCAGGCTCATGATTGTAATGAAATATGCCACGCTGGTGAGAGAGGTTGATAACGGGGCGTGTGCGCATGTGTGGGGGCAGGAGGTGTGTGGGAACTCTCTATGCCTTCTGCTCAATCTTGCTTTGAATGCCCAGCCATTAAAAAAAGAATGAAATTTTGCCATCTGCAACAACATACATGGACAAGGAAGGTGTTAGGTTAAGTGAAGTCAGGCAGAGAAAGACAAATACTCTGTTTTCACTTCTATGTGAAATCTAAAAAAATAAAACGAATGAATGAGTATAACAGAACAGAAACACTCATAGATACAGAGAAGAAACTAGTAGTTACGAGAAGGGAGAGGACTGGTGGGGAGGGGCAAGACAGGAGAAGGGGCTCAAGAGTACAAACTACGAGGTATAAAATAAATGAGATTCAGGGATATAACGTGCAGCACAGGGAACACAACCATATTTTGTAACAATTTTAAATGGAGTGTAATCTAAAAAAATCAAATCACTACGTTGCACACTTGAAAGTCATATAACATTGTAAATCTACTGTCCTTCAAAAACCAAGTATGTATTTCAAAGGATAAAAGTGACTGAGGAACTGAATAATGAACAAGTACCAAGAATAACTATTCTGATTGTTATTTTTAATGGTCTTACAATCAATAGTTAGACATTTAAGGTTTTTTGCATAAATCAACATGGATATATGTTACTTTCAGTTTATTAGAAATAATTCTTGAATGAAACAGGAGTTTTTATCCCTCTATCAATATAACAAAAATCTTCTCAGTCAATAAATATTTCAAAAATATGTAACAAATTAGTTCAGCATTCCTTTTTCCTCTCCAAAGTGTGCTGTCACCCTACCTTTGAGGGCAGTTCAAAGAAAGTTATGTGCTCTGAAAGCAGTTCTAAAATGGGAGTCACTGCAAAGTTTTCAGCAAAGGCAGTGGAATAACCATGGCATTTCTGCAGGAAGACACTTGACGAAGGACAGCACTCAGGTAGAATATCCCGCATAAACAAAGAAAAAGAAAAAGTTCTACTGACTCAAAAGAAAAGAGTTTGTCCTAAAGTAGATCCCACAAGCCAGAATGTGGGAATCACTTGGAACACTTTGAACAAACACTGAACCCAATCTGTGAGTGACAGCCAGGCAGCTGTATTTTCAAAGGCTCCCAGGAGAGTCTGATGGGTCATCAGGCTTGAGCCTGCTGAACCAGCTGCCTACTACATCTCTTCTTTGAATGACTTTCTGTGAATCCACATACGTCCGCTCCATAGTGTCTGGAAGAGGCTGGACATCACTGTCATTCAACACTACTGAGCCTCTGCTCTGTGCGACAGAGACATCATACCAACTGCTTGCTCTTTGTCCTGCCCTCTTGCTGCTCACGGTACAGTGGTAGGATACTTGCCTGTGGACTTCTGCCCTTGCCTCCTGAAGCTACCACTCAACAAAGCCTTCCTTGGGGAGGAAGATTTGTCTGGACTCTTGCCACCGTGGAAGCTGAGCACAGCCAGAAGTCACTCCTGCCCACTGCAGTGGCCAATCTCGGAAGTGCACTGTGTTCCTCATTGGCAAAGTGAGCAAGGAAGCTTGAGACATTCCATCACTAGGAATGGTCCAGGGGGAGCATGTAGGTGCATATTCATTGTTCTTTTTCTCTTGACCTTTAAATATTTATTGTATCTTTTTCTCCTTTTAAACTAGTTATACAAGCTTGATACAGAGAAGTTCGAAAATACAGAAAAGCAAAATCAAATAAAAATTATCCAAAATATCACCTTCAAGAGAAAGTTAGTCAGTATGAACATTCTGGCTTGTATATTCTTCTAGTCTTAATTGCACTTACACACTTTTTTTTTAAGCCAAAAGTGGAATTATATTGTATATACAGCTTTGATTTCATAAAAATGAATATCGTGACCATACACAAAGAATGTTTCTTAAATTACTCTTTCTTTTGCCACCTCCCCTGGAGATTAAATTCTCAAACTAGCTGTTTTAACTTAGCAGAGGGAGAGTTGAGATGTCTCATTAAAACTTGGATGAACTCCCTCTGTCATAGCTTATTTATATAAGTAGATTTCTTACAATCAACGGCTCCCACTAACAAGACATGCACATTAACGCCCCACAGCCAAATACACTAGGAGATAAATGGCTACTCCTTCTTTATATTCTGCACGTACAACAAACATTGACTGAGACATGTCAGCTGCTCTGAAGGGCAAGATTAGAAAATTAAACCTCATTTATAATTTCCATGAACCCAAAGTCAAATATCAAAGCACAACTCTCCATGTCACATTGAACGTGGAAGGAAGTAGAAATAAATATGACCTGCTTTGAACAAAAGCTGCTGGAATCTGGAAGAATCTTGCCTAGCCAAGGATTGCCTTTGAGGTTCTCTCCAAAAACCAGGCAGCTACTTGGGACAGCTGGCCTCATAATTTTGAGCGTTTAAAGTGGAGCAATCCCAGCTCATGAGCACTAATATAATTTGTGAAAACAATACACGCACAACTGGCATCATACTCCAAGCTTAACGAGATCTCTTTTCTCCTGGAGTGTATTGCTGGCTAACTGCTCTCAGTAAGTTGGAAGAGGCACGCTGGGAGGATGCTTTGGAGGAACACGGAGAACCAGGTGATTTCATTATCTCGCACATATCTCTTTTCTTGGTAGTTAATTAGCAAACATTCCTTTCTCCTTCTTATCTCTTTTTGAGGTCATATCAGCAATCATCTGCCCTCCAGTTTATGCAAAACTACTGAATAATTCTTAATGCAGAAGAGCTTATCAGGTTTCTTTCATTTCCATTTGCTCAAGAATGATCAGCAATGAAATATTTCAAACCTACAGAAAAACAGAGAGGTAAATAAAACCACCCAGATTGAACAGAGGTTAACACTCCACTGTCGATGCTTGATATGTTTTTAATAAAGTCCTTCCGTCATCACAGCCACACTTACAAGAACGTTTGGTGTTTTGCTATAACATGTCTCATGAACACGTCTTTGTGTGGAAATCTCTGACATATTTCTCTGAAGTGGTTGCACTGCTGTCAGCTCCGTGGTCTTGATTGTTTCAGGATGGTCCAGGGAGTGAGGCAGGGTGGTGTGGTGGCTGCAGCATGGCGCTGGGGCCATGCAGATCCGAGTTCCAGTCCCTGCCAACTAGCTGAGTGAATGTGGACAAATGTCTGTACCCAGTTCCTCATTCATAAAATAGAAATGGCAATACCTTCCTTGTAGAGATGTTGAGAGGCGATGCAAGAATAGCGTTAGAAGAGTACCCAGCACGTGGTAAGTGGCTGTTACCAGTTTGTGTGTCTGTATGTACCGAGCCCTTATAAAGCTTGGGTCCATCTTCAACTGAAACTGTATTTAACAGGAACCAGCCAACCTCTATCCAGATAATGAACGACTCCTTTCTCGTGGACTAATATACGCCATCTTTGTATGTGAGGCCAGATTTGGTCCAGCGAAATGGCAGTCTTTTTTTAAAACACTGAAAGGTGACTATTCCCCCATGCTTCTGATTTCAAAAAACATAATGGAAACCTTTATAGTTTCACAGCACTTACCTTTATATAAAGCCAAAGTAGCCCATAAGGGAGCAGTTGGTTATAAAAATAAAGTGCCTTGTGACCATGGACATTGTTTGGCCATCTTTATTTTTGTAAGCATCTCCTTCTTTTTCTGTCTTTAGGTTTATATATTGTCATTAAAGCAAATTGCCTTGAAGGAAACACACTGTTTAACTCGGTTGTTCTCAACCATGACTGAGGCTCAAACTCACCTGGGTTGAAAAAAATAAATCAGTCTATCTAGCTATCTACCCATCTGTCTGTCTATCTATCATCTATCCCAAGGCCCCCATCTAAGACATCCTAGAATCTCTGGGGCTGGGTAGAAAAGGGTGGTAGGGATTAATGATCCACTCAGATGAGGCTGTTATAGACCCAGACTGAGAATTACACTGAGTTAACCACTTGAAATGGTACCTATCTGTAGAGCAGTCTAAGATTTTGGAATTAATCAGCAAGTCCTTTTTTTTCTCCCTCAATAACTATCCAAGCCAGATGCTGCTATTCCAAGTCTTCTGTCGCAAATTATGTCTTCCTCGGGAAAGAAGCATACTACGGTCCATCTAAGCACAAAGTAAATCAAGACACACGTCCACCTCGCAGCAAAAGCATTCGGACCATCTAACTGGGTTCCACTGAAATGAGTCTGAGCGACACCATGCTGAGGTAATTGTACAGCCCCCATGAAGAAGCTACATGAAAGGTAACCAAGACACACAAAAAACTGCATTTAACTCCATTTTCTAAAATAATAGTAATAATAATATTAGTGCTATAATGCACACACTGTATCCTTTTGCAAACAAAACCACACCAAATGTCAGAAACTGGCCTAAGAGGACACTGTTTTCCAGAGGTGAATGCACTGCCTAGTCCTGCCAGCACTCACCTTCCCTCTCCCCCTTTTTCCATTCCCACAGCTGCACGCTGTCTGAGGTAATCGGGCAGAGAAGCGCATCTGAAGGTGGAGACCATTAAGAAATCACGCTTCTCTTTATTTATTACAGTTTCCATGGCAAAAGCAAAATAAAAGACAACTGGGTTTCAAAGCAACAACAATAAAGGAAGCAACCTCTCTCTCGGGCAGACAAACCTTAGAGTGAAAGTAAAACAGCGCGCTGTGTGAGATGATGCCGAGGGCCCTTCCCCAAACCGAGGGGCCCGGCTCTTGACGGGGCTGGCTGTGTGCAGACGCCAACTCCAGAGACCCAAAACCCACTCCTCGAAGGAGCTGACTTGCATATTTTCTTTGGGGATCCTGTTGCTAAGTTTCCCTTTCAACTGACTTCAAGATATCAGACAGTGAAATCTCTGGGGCTTTCCAGGCCACCTAATTCAAAGTAAGCAGGAACCCGAGTAGGGCCAGAATGCTGGCTGACCTCTTTTCGACAAACAGGGACCTAGAATTTGGGCTACTCAGCTATTCAGCCAGTTCGGTTCCTCTGGGCAGAGTCAGCAGGTTGAATGACCTAGACGGTTGGGTTTTCTAATGCTTGAGGCGGACGACAGCCAAGATAGACCCCTCTCCGTCTAAGAAGTCAGGGCCACCAGAATTATTCGTAACACATTAGTATACACTCCCTCCCTGCACCTTGTCCTTATTCAATTGCCATGAATCCAACTGCCTTGGTCCACGTCACCTGTAGCAAGTTGCTTTCCCTTTCAATAAAGGCTCCAAGTATCAAAATCATTAGTTTCTCCAGCCATCCAACCCATGTATTTTCCTTGATTAGCTTCCAAGAGCACCCTCTGCCCCAGAAGAGAGTAGAAAATCAGGCTTAGAGAGAATGGGGAGAGCAGTAGCTTCTAATCATTCACTTTCTTCTTTGTTTTTTTAATTCTCTATATTTAGATCTTTAATGACGTACAACATAATACAAAACAAGGAGACTGACTTCTGTGACTCGGTGTTATCCGTTGTGTCATCCGAGAGCCGGGGACTGGAGGGAGAGGCTCTTCTCCAGGGAGAACTGAGGTGGAGTTAGTGCCCGGTGACTAAATCATGTCTTGTTTCTCCCCGACATTTTTTTTTTCCTGTTTGTTAAGGGAGGAAATTCCCTTTGTGGATTTACTGAGAGCAAAAATGGTATCTCGGCTTTGGACTTGCCCCTACTTTCACCCATGCTGGTACTTTTAAATTTAGTTTTGATAGTGGGTAGGTTCCCCTCTGCCTAAAAACCCAGGGGAAAAAACCCAGTTCTTTAATTTACTCATATCCTGCTGGGCGTTCTCAGGCTAATCATTGCCATACCAGCTTCATACTCAAATGCAACATCTCAGTTTGAAGGAAACGGGGAGACAGGGCTGCTGGAGTTTATTCCGCGTGCTTCCTCCCGACATCAGGGCTCCCTGGGCTATTTCAAATTATCCAAAACATCAGCAGGCTCAGCACTTGGAGAAAACACGACAGGTACTTCCCAACCTGCCAGGGCTCAGGGAGGCATAAAGAACACATTGAGTAAATTAACTGACAAAATCTGTTAACTGCCAGCTCCTGAGAACCCGGAAGATAAACTGTAGAGTTACCATCAACCTGCAGGTAGAGGAAGAGACTATCTTGATGCAACAAAAATAAAGGAATGCTGTGCTCTGCAGATTTGGAGAGGAGCTCTTCTTCTGTCCTAAGGGTGCCTCACCGGCCCTGGCTCTGGGAAACCACTCGACCAGCAAGGTTGACAGTTGCCCACACACGCAAAAAAGCATAGCCCTTTGTATCACTTGCGACTTGGGCCTGAGGACTAGTTTTATTCTAAGAGTGAATTTCAATTTTTTTTCCTGTCGTGGCAATTCACACTGTGCCTCATCCTGATCTTTATCCTGAGGTTTAATCACACTGAAGTGAACATTAAGGGTGGTTGAGAAGGAGCCACAAACGGGGGAAGGAAGAAGAGGCAGTAAAGAGAGACCATAATGCCTGCTTTCTGGCTGATAAGAAGAGTCACGATCTTGGAGGGGGGTGGTGGAATGGTGAAGCTTTTGTGTAGATACTGTGTGAGACATGACAGTAAAACAAAGACAACACTTTTACTGCCTGGCTGCTGAATTGAGTACATATATGAACTAGAGATCTTTTGTTTGTTTGCTAAGCCTCGGCAGGCAAATCTACTCCCAGCAACTCCACGCAGCCCCCACTGGTCACTATGCCGCCAAAGCAAAGGTGAGTGATCCTCCAGGTCTGGGGGCTCTGGCTGCTGGCTATTTGTAGTTTCACCCTTTGAAATCCTCGTGTCTCCTTCTGAGTTCGCACACTCAGACTCTGACATTGTATTCTTAAACTATGAAGTCCCCCACTTTCTGCCCATTCAGAAGGCCTAACCAAACAAGACTAGTTAATCTGGGAAACAGCGAACTGACTCTATGGAAATCTGATCCCCTCATTGCCCAAGGACCACGGACCACTAAAAAGTTGCCTCAGATGGCAGAGAGCTCAAATGCCGGCCCTCACTCTAGCCCTAGGGGCCATTTGACTTTGGGAAAAGGCCTGTCTTTTCTCTGGGTTTTAGTTTTCTCCTTTTTAAAAATGAGGAGCTGTCTAGGCCATGAGCCCTACCTCTTTCGGCTATAGTTTCCACGTTTTGCAACTGCAAGGTTGAAGATCTGAGAATCTGTGCATGCCAAAGGGCTTACAAATAATAGTACCTCACCCTTAAGTACTTTACACCTATTAACTCATTTAATCCTCCCTACAGCCCCATGAGACAGGTATCCTAATTACGTCCCTGATTTTTCAGATGGGCAACAGTCACAGAGAGAGGCTGAGCTGCTTGGCCTGGGTCACACAGTAGTGGTGGGCCGGGGGAAGGACCGCAAGCAGTCCAGCTCCAAGGTGAGTGCTCGTAACCACCACGGATACAGGGTAACAGGCTGAGCTAAGGATTCAGCTGCCTTCATGGTGAGGGAGCAAGTGTGAGAATCAGTTTCTCTGCCAGTCAACAGATTTACAAAGAACCAAGATCAGAGGTAGACGGGTGTCCTCTCTACCACCTGCTGGATCCCCCTGCATTATTTAGGGCACACATTGCCATAGACGAACACAAGCACTGAGTGGCAGTGGTGTAAATTAGCATGATTCTGACAGCAAAGCCTAAAACTGCTAAAAAAAAAAAACAGAATTAATTGATCAGCTTGGGGCCTCTTTGCCACTTACTGACCTATCAGTGCACTGATACAGTTTGGGGGAAATAGCCAAATGATATTGGATGAGGGAACACAAGAAGCCAGGCAAAGAGAGCCAGGTTCAAGATCAGTTTAGAAAAATAAGCTGTCTCCAGGAGTCTTCCAAACAGCCACTAGGAGGTCCTGACTGCCCTATTCTGGACTCCTGGCCTCAGCTTCCTTAAAAGCAAATGCCTTTCACTGAGCTCAGCCTTAGTCCAGTAAGATCTTTGCAGAGGAGAAAAGACAACATGCTTGTTCATTTTAAAAATAGGTCCAGTAAGACGCCCCAAGCCCAATGAGACTCTGGCAGCCAAGGTCTTGCCAGTTCACTGCAGAAAGGCAGTGATGAGTATTTACAATGCTATCTGGATTTTAAGTTCATAGCACCAAGGCCCAAAGATCCTGAATTAAGCCTCTTTTCAATGCTTGTTTACTATAGAAAAGTTGCCTTAAAATGAGTGTTGTTTAGCTCTGTGCCCTTCGGGTTTTTTCCATCATTAATCCTTTTGGAGAAGGGCGGGGCTGCCTGGGAACAACGCAATTTAACTCTGGTTACAGCCCTTCTTATGCAACCCAGCACATCCGCAAGTTAACACCACCTTTCAGGGAAAACCAACACAGAGCTGCGCTATATACAGCTTCGGGCTGCTGGTGGTCACCACCACCAACTTGGAAAAAGTCCTACATACTGATGCTCTTTGACCTTATCAACCAATTGGCCGTGTGGCATACTCACTGTGGTACTGAATGAGATAAGTTTCTTCCCCTGAACTAAAAAGCACACTGTATTGAGTAGCTGCAGACTCTTCACCTTCAAGTCACTGATTTACCTACTGTACTTAGCTAACCCAGGAGAGCTATGAATCAGCCTTCTCAACTTCCCAGCTAACTAAACACGTTCCTTTTGATACAATCTCTGCTTTATCTAGATTTATTTGTTCTGAATTCTGCTGTATTCTTAGGGCATTATTTCTTACCAAAGACAGTTCTCCCTCAGTGTTTGTTTAATGATAATTTTTGTTTCAAGCTGTTCCTGAGTAGTATGTTTGCCCTTTCTCAAGGGTTTATATTCTGAGGAATACCTGAGTCACATACTGTCAGACTTCCAGCACGCATCAATCACAGGCAGGGGTCACTCCCATGGGTCACTAAACCGTGTCAAATTGCTGATGTCTTTAAGAGCAGAGCTCAGAGACAATCTCTTGTATTTTTTTCTTTCTTTCTTCTCTTTCTATTCATTTACTTTAATTTCCAGGGATTCAGCAGGCCTTTTATTCATTCTGCCACCAGTTGAGAAATTACCTTGTGTCGGGCACTTTGGTTGGGTGATGGAGATAAGACTGGAAGAAACATGGTCTGCTTTTAGAAGTTCACAATATGGTGAATGCGAAGAAAGGTCATGACTAGACAAAGCAGGAAGTGCTCTAAGGAAAGAGCCACAAGGCATTTGTAGGTGTGCAGAGGGATGTATGACTCCACCTGGAAGATTCCAGAAGAATACATCCAAAAGCCAAGAAGTGATGCTTGATCTGAACTTTAAAGGGCAAGTAGTGGTCATTTCAAGGGAATCCAAACAACAGATGGACCCATGCGGATGCAGCAGAGGGGCATACACACTTAAGGGAGAGGCTGGAGGGCCACGGCCAGATCATGAAGGACTCTGTTCCTAGGGCTAAGAAATTTGAACTTTATCTTAAAGTAGAGAGGAGGAACCAAAGGAAAGAGAAAGCAAAATTGTAATTCAGAATGGTATCATGAAAGGACAAAATCCCTGCTAAGTTCATAAAAGTTAGTAAGATTCTCTGTCACCATTTGCTTCATCTGGCTTTGCTTCTTGGCCCCAGGGACAGCATACAGAGCATGCGGAGACCAGTTCATGGCATCAGTCTACCTCTCCAAGAGACTTACAGCAATGACCTTCTTCAGGCTCACATGGAGAGTTGTTCTGTACTCTGGTCTGCAGAGGCTTACATCCTGGAGGCCTTCCTGGAACAGGATCTCTTTGCATAAGGTCATGAAATGAGGGATCCACATGGCAGAGAGCAGTGTGTAAGTGGCACTTGTAGATGGGAAGACAGTGCGTGCGCAAAGGCAGGGACACAAGTCAGCAAGCCCCACGTATGACACGTCAAATGCAGCAGGGAAGGCGAGGAGGTGGGAAATGTGGTGAAGGGGATCAGGAGATCTGTTGGTTCCCTTTGTCCCATAAACACGTTGATGCAGAGAACATTACACATTTCCAAGTTGGCGAAGTTAAGGTAGAAAGAAACAGAGTTAAGTGGTCTGAGCACAAATACGAGGCACTAGCAATTTAGTAAAACAAGTCACATGGTTTGCTGGCTTCTGTTTCCAATCTCTGTTTTCCAAGAGCAGCCTGCCTGTCATATCAAGTTAGACATTCTCCCTTTGAAATTATGCATTCCCAGAGCTTAAGGAAGCTTTCAGATAGATAGAAATATCATTACTTAAAAAAAAAACCAAGTAATGCCCTAATCATCTTCTATTTTTTATTATATCTGTAGCATAGCTCATGCACACTAACGTACTTAAGTTCCATCAGAGGACTTAGAAACTGCTCAGGAAAACAATTTGACTCCTAATGATCCCTGAACAATTCTTATTTATTTTCTCTGCACATTCCTTTTTAAATTTTCCATGAGAAATTCTGGGTAAAGTTCATTAATAAATAACAGAATTTCATGAGCGCATGCAACTTCAGGTGTATCTGATTTCATGCACGCTGGCCTCCCTGCTCCACAACCCATAACTTTTTCCCTCATTCACGTGTTTTATAATGGATTGTTTCAGGGATTTAAAAAAAAAAGTTTAAAGCTTTCACTCAAGCTAAGGTTCCTTAATTTTTGCTGGCATTTTCATTGTCAGGATGTGTTACAGGGACAAAAGCAATTTCAAAACTGCTGGCTCAGTCACGTTGCCTGCACGTGGCTCTCAGCCTGGCAGAGAAGAAGGAAACAGCTTTGGTGTTGTGACTGTCTCCAAAGATACACTTACGCTAGTATGTAATTCCCTGATTCCCCCCCTGCCCCCCTCAATTAGGTCATATTTCCTATTTCACAGCTATAAGAAGACAGGTTCTGGATACTGTACAATGAATATAGATTCAGTATGTTTAATGCCATAGGTATATTTCTACAAACATACATATCAATGAAGATTTTGTAGCACCATTCACAACTATCTGAAGGGTGTTTTCTGGGTAACCGTCTATGGATCTTCTCATAAAGCAAAAGTCCTTTTGAAAAAAATGACACTATCCCCTACTTTGTGTGTTCTAACTTCAGGTTTTCTTGAATTCATTTCAAAAAAGTGATGGAGACCACCATCCTTTTGCATTAGCTGAGCAAGCTCCACACCAACACAAGAGCCAATCATCCTTTGTCGTTAAGCTTTACTAAACAAAGACATGAAAATGTGGGCTACTGAGACAGACAGAACTTCCCCATGAGTCAGTAGCCAACCCCAGCCAAAGAGCTCATGGTTCTAACTAACTAGCCCACAGCCTTTCACATCCAGTTCTGCTTTTTCAGTCTTTTCTAAGAGTACAATTTCTGGTTAGGAACTGAGAAAGTGGGGTAGTTTCTACTTCCGGAGGATATATCGTGGCGCTACCGTGTTAACAGTGGTAGAAAAAGTGGCTGAGTCCCAGGGCCCCAAACACGAGAACTCCTTCTATTCAGCCCCTGTTCTACTCTCACCCTCATGAGGTTTCAAAAGGACACAATATATGAGCAGAGAACAAGGCCAGGCAAAGAGAGACATACTGTTAATGGGTCTCCTG